CCTTTTCTTTTAACAGTTTTAAATTTCAGTGCGCATGAAGAACAATAGCACTCTCTCGACTCTATGCTGTAATCTCACATACACCCGGGGGAAGGGAATGTGAAAGGGCAATAAACTCCACTCCAGCAAGATAAAGTCATTTTATGAAAACCATCTACTTTATGCTTTATCTACAAATAAAGTATAATAATGGGAATATTGACCTTGAAGAGAGTGTCGTCGTGTCGCAAACGAACGCGACGCGCTGTGTGAATTCTGAATGAAGAATGACTGAGGCGAGATGACTTTCCGTTAACTTTAACTTAGCGACTAAAATTACACATTATGCAATGACTTTAGAAGTCTTGGAATATAGGGTGAAAACTTGATTGTGCTTTACAAAGTTTTTATGCCTTTAGTGGGGCTTAACAAAATAACATAATACTATGCAGAATATCGGACGTCACTGAGAAGCTGCAGCCGTGGCGGGAGGATTTTAAGTGTGGCGGCCCGCCACGGGAGAATGAATGTAGAGGAAACACTGTGTTCCTTTAAACCAAGTGAGTGTGGGGTGGGTTTGAATCATTAAGAATAGGTAATTCATTTTCGGTAAAATCGTCATTTTTATTGCTGCTATCCTGCCGATTATAGAGATTGGGAGGTTGAGCCACCTGAGCAAATCGTCTTCTATTTTTTTTTTTTTTGGTAGTGGTGTGAAGTTGAGTGTTACCAACTCTGACAGTCTGGAGGAGATCTTAATGCCTAAGTAAGTGATCATTTCAAAGTAAGACCATTTCACAAGATGTAAACAACACTGGTCCAGAAACACTTCCTGTTTCAGTTTGTAACCGTTTTCTTTATTTCACATTAAAGAAAACATCTTAAAGATGTTTGTTTAACTTTTTGATTCAGTTTTACATGCTCTGTTGGTTGTTTTTTTATCCCAGCTTTTATGTAGTGTTAAAAAACTGAAACAGGAAGTGCTTCTGGACCAGTGTTGTTTACATCTTGTGAAATGGTCTATAGGTGATTGATGGGGTGCCACATCCCATTCGGTTTTATGTAAAGGGAGGATGGAAGATTTATTCCAGTTTATTGCACAATCGGATATTTTTGAGAAGGACTGGATTGTTTTTAATTATTTCTTGAGTAGATGTTAGGGGTTCTTGTATATATAGTAGGATATCATCTGCATAAAGTGAGATTTTATGTGTTTGTTGTGGTGTTTCAATACCTTTGATTGCTGGGTTTTGACGGATAGCTGCTGCTAAAGGTTCAATAAAAATCGTGAACAGGTATGGAGAGAGTGGACATCCCTGCCTCGTCCCCTGTGCAGTGTGAAGCTTTGTGATGTTAGTCCGTTCGTTGTGACTGTGGCCGATGGTGATGTGTATAAAATCTTGATCCAGTTAATAAATGACTCTCCAAAGCCGAATTTTGTAACGTGGTGAATAAAAATTTCCAGTTGACCCCATCAAAAGCTTTTTCGGCGTCTAATGTGGCAATGAGAGTATCTTTCTGTTGTATTGATGAGTAGTGCATTAAATTGTATAATCTGCGGTTATTATTAGATGCATGTCTACCTTTTATAAAGCCGGTCTTATCAGGATGGATTATATACGGTATAATTTGTTCAATTCTATGGGCTAAAGCTTTGCTAATAATTTTTATGTCGACATTTATAAGTGAGATAGGACGATAGTTGGATGTGAAGGTGTGGTCTTTGTTAGGTTTAAGGCGGGCACACACTGTGCGATGTCTGTGCGATTTCAGCAAGGTACCTACTCACACTGAACGAGTAAATCGCATGCGATGCAAAGCCAAAGTTCAGGATTTATGTGCTCACACTGTACGGTCCGATCGTCGAGCTGCGACTTCACTGTTCACACTATACGTGTAATATCTGCGATAACCCCCTGGATTGCGCCTATTTACGTGTATGTATCCAGAGATATTGTCAAAACAAGCATCTGCTATCAGTATCAAGATGATTTAGTATTTTCAATTTATGCATTTAATTATTATTATTATTATATTATCATTATTAGGGGAGGCCTATAGGCTAATTTTACTATTAAATTGATCCGCTATTATAATTAATTTGCCACGCAATATTTTCACAGCACATAACCAACTTGCTTGTGCGGATAATAAAATATTAATCTTACTCCTCATTAAAAATTGTCTAAAACATTTAGGTCGATTACAATGAATTATATATAAAATAACTATTAACAGTCTATAATATGTCCGAACATTGCCATTATTAATCATCAATGAAAATTAAAAACAGGTTTATTTCAAAAACATTGTTTGACAAAATAATAAAAGAGGTGTTACATATCAGGTGGCTTTGAAGACGGTGGGTACCCAGACAGCAAACTGACATTGGAATCAACGTGGAAACGACGTCTCTCATGACATTGAAACAACGTTGATTTTGCTCATCGAATTAACGTTGAACCAACGTCAGACGCGGCATTCTTCAAAGCTAAATAAAAATCGAAAATTGGTTTGCTTTCATAACGTTGAAACAACGCGTTGATTTCAAGTTGATTTTCCGTTAGTTTTGAAAGAATGACGCGTCTGACGTTGGTTCAACGTTAATTCGATGAGCAAAACAATGTCAGATCAACGTTGTTTCGATGTCATATTTCCACGTTGATTCAATGTCAGTTTGCTATCTGGGTAATATTATCCATTTTGCAACACGAACTGGAGGTAAACAACAGTAATTTGTAGCTCGTTTTTATTTTAATTTTATTTTTGCTGCAGATGAAATGGTTAAACTTCTGTTTTCACGCAGGTGCACTGTGGGAAAAAACACTGAGTTTAGGGCAATCGGTTCGTAGCTTTGCTTTAACTGTGCGATATAGTCACGAGGAGCGACCAAAATTTCTGACATGCCAGAAATTCATCCGACCATCCGATTGTCGATCGTGAGAGGTTAATCGCCTCTCGTTTCTCCCTGTACACTGCACGAACACTGCACGACAAACGACGCACGACAAAGCTGAAAATCGGTCCGACACGAAAATGAGTCGCACGAGTCAGAATTCTGCTCAAAATCGGACGAAAATCGCACAGTGTATACCCGCCTTTACTGGACCACTCTCCAGTAACTCTCACATGGAACTCATATTGCAGATGAGTTCCATGTGAGAGTTACTGGAGAGTGGTCACTGATAATGATCGGATGTATTTTGGTTTCTAAAATATTTGGTATGATTGAATTACTGGTTAGAAAGAAATCAATGCGGGAGTAGGTTTGGTGAACATTAGAATAAAAGGTGTATTCTCTGGCGAGTGGGTATTGTAGCCTCCAACCATCGCAAAGACCAAAATCACTCATGAACTGTTTTATTGTTTTGGAGGACTGCCAAGATTTTCCTGTATGTTTTGACCTGTCAAATGATGCATCAATTACAGTATTATATTCTCCCCCTATAATTATTGGACCGTTGGAAATGTTTGAAAGAGAGGAGAAGAAATTTGCAAAGAAGGAGGAATCATCAGAGTTTGGTCCATAGATGTTGCCAATTGTAATTGGATCATTATTGATTGAAATAATAATGATAAAAACGGCCTTCAGAATCTGAAATGGTTGTATGGTGGTTAACCTGTTAACCTGTTCCCCAGAAATGACATACGCAAACTGAAACAGATACAATTCATCAACCCTTTGCACTAAAAGCACAAGTATGATCTCATTTGAAAGCTTACACCTGGTAGTTTATTGGAAATGTAGAATTCATTATTGTCATAATGAAAAACATTTTTTAAATAGCTCCAAAGTTTTGTAAAGTTATTAGAAATGTATTTTTATGAAATATCTTCATGAAAATAAAATTGAAGTTGGCCCTGTAGCAATCTAGAAATGCACTGCAGCTAAAGCCATATGTGTGACCATTTTATATTTAAAATCTAAAAATGATAAGTCTAAAACTCTGTATTTAGTGTTTTTCAAGATCATATCAAATTACTTCAATTTGATTAGACTCTAAAATGCAAACTGATGTTTAGTCATCTTCTAAGTCATCTATTCAGTCTATTGTCTTTATTGTTTTGTGGTGCAAACGAGCCCCATTCAGGCTCAGTCTCCCCGTGCACACATTCACACCTCTACAGAACTGCTATAAATATGCATTTTTTTGTCTGCATTATAGCTACTAACGACTGGATATTCACAAGTCAAGTCAAGTCACATTTATTTATATAGCGCTTTTTACAATACAGATTGTATCAAAGCAGCTTCACAGTGAAAACATGAAAGTAGTACAACACAGATCAATAATATTGTTGAATATTAAATGTCCCCAACTAAGCAAGCCAAAAGCAAGGCAACAGTGTCAAGGAACCAAAACTTCATCTGGTGATTGGATGGATGCTTTGTAGCACGCGTGCTGCAAAGCAGTAACAGCGAACAGTGAATAACAAGTAAATGTGAAGTAAATGCTGAAATTTAAACATGTCAAGACAAAAGTAAATCGATGAGGATATGGAGGAAATTTGAAAATCTCTGAGCATGTTATCTGAGGATCTTGCTCGAGTTGCTAAAAAACAAGAAATGCTGGAGGAGCTAATGTCTGAAGTCAAACAATTGAAAAGTTTGGTTAAAGAAAAGGACGCGATGATCGATCAGTTGGAAAGAAGGATTGATGAGTTGGAACAAAATGCAAGAGGGAATGACTTGATTATTAGTGGGCTTGATATCCGAAACAGATCCTACTCAAGTGTGGCTGCTGGAAAAGAAGATATTTCGAGCGAAGAACAGCAATCGCTTGAATATCAAGTGATGCAATTCTTTAAGACAAAGGACATTAATATTGAAAGTGAAAATGTGTCATCTTGCTACAGTCATCCAAGGAAAAACAAACAAACGAAGCCAGCAATTGTTTTGCGGTTTGTCGCGACTAAACATAAGAGAGACATTCTAAAGCAAGGAAAAAAATTGAAGGGGAGCGATGTTTATATAAATGAACATTTAACCAAAAAGAATGCTGATATAGCCAGAATGGCGAGGAACCTGAGGAAACAAATGAAGATTCAAGCAACATGGACAAGAAATGGGAAGGTGATAATCAAACTAAACGGAACGCCTGAGGAAGCAAAGATTATCACGGTAAGAGATCTACGCGAACTTGAAAGATTTAAAACATGAATCCTGAAATGAATGAATTGCACTCTGATGGAAATGGAAGGAATTCTAGATGTCCCAGACTGTGTGAATTTTGGAAGAGGATGGTTAAATTGGGGCTCAGGGTTGGGCCTACTGAATGTGTTTATTTTTTGGCCTGGGAATGTCGTGAACCCCCGAGTTTGAGGGCCCTGGCTGCTTTCTAAGCGTTTCGTAGGCCCCCGTTTGTAATGAGCCATTCATTGTGGATGGTGACTGAAAAGTGGCCCCCACACGCAGACGGAGGGTCGCGGCACCTCGAAACTTCACGTTCCGACTCTCCGGGGGCCCCTGACTCGGGGCCCCGAATTTCGGATCTCTAGGACCTTTGCAAAAAAGCGCCCCTCCCCCGTCATCAACTAATTTAAAGGCTTGAATGGCTCTTTCAGGGTAAGAGTGAAACATCCTTGAGTGTGACATGTTGCGCAGAGGCAAAAAAATATTTTCCAGGGCCCCAGGGCCCGGTGCTCTCGGCATGTCGCTCGGGGGCCGTTTCTATGTTTAATTAGCATTAAAAAAAAAGCGTCCGCGGAACCACATTTTGGCGGGAAAAAATAGGTTGGAAGTGGGATGCTGTCGCGTTTCCTCCTCCCGTCGTTTGTGGCGGCGGTCCCCGTCGATTAAACCACCTCTACCATACTAAGCGCGCTCGGCCGAACGCGTGGCGCCGTTTTCCCGAGTCGTTTGAGTGTTTGATAGCCAAGGAAACCGGCGTCCTCGAAGACGCGTTTTGGCGGGAAATTTTTTTTAAGCCAGTCTGTGGGAATATCTCGGCGAAAACTTTTTTAAATGTGATATTCTGACTCTCTGGGCCATTGTGATTGCAAAATCCAGCTGTTTTGTGAAATTAGTCATGCAACAGGCTTTGTAATTAGGCCACACCTACGGTTTGGCCGTTTAAAAACAGCGGGTTCGTGGACGCTTTGGCGTTTGAGCTTTGTCGTTCGATTTTTTTTCCGACGAAACGAGTTTATAAAGACTCGGAGGGATCCTTTGGTGCGGGCGGAAAAGTTTGGGGGCCCTCGGACCTCGTTCGGGGGTCGAAAGGCCGAAAAAGGGACGCCGTCCGCAAAACCGCCATTCGTCCAATAACCCACGTCGCGACGCCCCATCGACTAGGGGGCGCCGTTTTCCGACTCGCCACGGCCCCCCGGAGCGGGCGGAAAAGCTTGGCGGCCCCAGGACCTTGTTCAGGGGTCCCGAGGCCCAAAAAGGGGCCTGTGAGTTAGGGTTAGCGTGACGGTCGGGGTTAGAGGCTGGCGACGCCTTGCCTCTGTTCTAGCGCCCCCTGCTTTCGGCACGTCGCTCGGGGAGGGCCAAGGGTTCGGCGTGCCGAATTTGGGGCCCCGGGGACATTTGGAAAAAAATCCCAATCGCCCATTAAATGAATGTATTTTGCCACAGTGGTTTCGTGGACGCCGCTTCGCAACGGCCTATCGACTAGGGGGAGCCGTTTTCCGACTCGCCACGGCCCCCCGGCGCGGGCGGAAAAGTTCGGGGGCCCTCGGACCTCGTTTAGGGTTCGAGAGGCCGGAAAAGGGACTCTCGTCCGCAGAATCACTATTTGTCCAATAACCCACGTCGCAACGCCCGATCGACTAGGGGGCACCGTTTTCCGACTCGCCGCGGGCCCCCGGCGCGGGCGGAGAAGTTTAGGGGCCCTCGGACCTCGTTCGGCGGTCGAAAGGCCGGAAAAGGGACGCCCGTCCGCAAAACCGCTACGAAACAAGTGGTCCGTGGGACGGCCCCCGTACGGGGTCGAAAGGTCATGGCGCGTCGAGATTTGAGATCTGGGCCCTCCAGGGGCCCCCGACACACGGCCCCGAAGGGTGAAAACCTAGGACCCTCCTGTAGCGAGTTGGCCCTTTTAACCAACTTTCACTCAAAAGCCTCTTAGGGTACAAGAGTTGAAGAGCCTTCATTAGGGTTAAAGGGGTCAAATGGGTTGCCTTTGCTCTAGCGCCCCCTGCTGTCAGTATGTCGCTCGGGTGGGGCCCAAGGGTCAGCGTGCAAAATTTGGGGCCCCTCGGACCTTTCTGTCAAAATCCCACTCGCCCATTAAATGAATGTATTCGCCGCAGCGGTTTCGCGGACGCCTCTTCGCAACGGCGCATCGACTAGGGGGCGCCGTTTTCCGACTCGCCGCGGCCCCCGGTGCGGGCGGAAGAGTTTGGGGGCCCTCGGACCTCGTTCAGGGGTCGAAAGGCCGAAAAAGGGACGTCGTCCGCAAAACCCCGATCCGTCCAATAACCCACGTCGCGACGCCCGATCGACTAGGGGGCGCCATTTTCCGACTCGCCGCGGCCCCCCGGCGCGGGCGGAAAAGTCTGGGGGCCCTCGGACCTTGTTCAGGGGTCGAAAGTCCGAAAAAGGGACGCCCGTCCGCAAAACCGCTATCCGTCCAATAACCCACGTCGCGACGCCCGATCGACTAGGGGGCGCCGTTTTCCGACTCGCCGCGGCCCCCCGGCGCGGCCGGAAAAGTTTGGGGGTCCTCGGACCTCGGACCTCGTTCGGGGGGTCGAAAGGCCGAAAAAAAGGCGTCGTCCGCAAAACCGCTATCCGTCCAATAACCCACGTCGCGACGGCCGATCGACTAGGGGGCGCCGTTTTCCGACTCGCCGCGGGCCCCCGACGCGGGCGGAAAAGTTTGGGGGCCCTCGGACCTCGTTCGGGGGTCGAAAGGCCGAAAAAGACGGGGCCCCTTTCAAATGTATTTGATATAGTGGGTTATTGGACAATAGTGGGTTTTTGGACACATGTGGTCAGAAAAGCTTAAAAAGTGCATTTACAATCGCGAAAACTCAACGGATCCACCCACAAATGGGCTCTTTGTAAGCGTCTATTTGAGCTGAAAAGAATGGTATAAGTTTTATAAAATTTGGTCCAGTATTCGCGGAGATATTGGCCGAAAACCGTCGACCACGTGTCATAATGGCGCAAGGTGATGACGTCACGACCCTAGGCCTTCACCAGGTCCGACTTTGAACACGAATTAACTCCGGAACCACGCCGACTTTGGGCTTCAAACTTTGGGGTATTGGAGGGCCCATTGATACCTCCCCACACACCGAGTTTGGAGTTCCAACTCGGCTCTGTTCCCGGGATACATCCGGTCAAATCTGGACAGGAAGTGCCCGTATCTCGGAAACGGAAGGGCCCAGGACCTCGAAACTTTGGGGTCTTGAGGGGACCCATAGGGGCTCCCAACACCCGGAGTTTTGAGCTCCAACTCGGTTTGGTTCCCGAGATACACCCCGTTATACATTAGGAACTTTTGGACAAAACGGTCAATATCTCGGAAATGACGAGTCCCAGCGGTTCGTCCTTTGGGGTGGTGAGTGGCCCCTAGGGGCCCTCTCAGACCCCAGAGTCGCGAGGTTCTGGAGCCCTTCCTTCTGAAGTGACCCCTTTTCTGTTGGGACCCATATCTCGGCCTGTGGGGGCGCTAGAGCCTCGGGCTAGGGCCCGTTGGAGAGGGCCCCTAGAGACCCTAAGTTGACCTGAGTTTGGTGCATCTGGGCGGCTTGGTCCCAGAGTTAAAGCCGTTCAAACTTTAGGGTTTATGCTCACTGGCCTTCAACACATAAGCTGCAAATGGACACGATCCCGCCTGCAATCTTTTGAATGGGTTTTCGGGTAGTATATTTAAAAAATTGTGGGTTATTGGACACATAGTGGGTTCTTGGACAGTGGAATTATGGGATGGTGCTTGGTGCTACAGACTCAGGGGCCCCAGCTGAGTGCAGGAAAGTAGTTTATATCCAAATATTTTGAAAGCTAAGCTTAACCACCCATGTCCACTATTTGTCTAATAACCCACTATTTTTGAGATGTACTAACCCTGACCTTCATGCAATAAGCTGAAAATGGACAGAATCCCTCCTGCAATCTATTCAATGGGTTTTCGGGAAGTATATTTAAATTAAAGCTGCAAGCAGCGATGGGCGGGCCCTCGCACCTGTAGCGCGTCGGGGTGTGAGGCGGCCGCATTGTATATTCTGCAGCTCAGCCAGTGCGGCTGTGCATTTGCTACGCTGCTTCGTTAAAGGTCACTTCCTGTTGCCAGTAGGTGGCGCTATGACTGTGGGTGAATGTCGGTATGTAGATTTGTTCAGGGCAGGACTCCTGTCAAATGTGTAAAATTTCATGCAGAACTGGGCATTTACAGCCAAGTTACTACAACTTCCTGTTTCATGGCGAATCATCGACGCCACAGACACGCCCATCGACGAAAGCGCGCAGATAGCACAACTTTACATCGTCAATGCCTTTAGAAGGCACAGCAGAAATTTGAAGTTCATCCGACTAGGAGGAGTTAGTTACAGTACGTTATGAGTAAATCATCCAAAAATGGCTGTAAAATTAGAAATGGCCGACTTCCTGTTGAGTTCAGGGCATCGCTCCAAGAGACTTTTCTGTGCGTCTGGACATGGTAGATGTACCACAGAAATTACGTACATGTCGGTCAAACATGCGACGGGGGCTGCTTCTTTAAAGGTCACTTCCTGTTGCCACTAGGTGGCGCTATGACTGTGGGTGAATGTGGACATGTAGATTAGTTCTGGGCAGGACTCTTGTCAAATTTCGTGCAAATCTGAGCATTTACAGTCAAGTTACTACAACTTCCTGTTTCATGGCGAATCATCGACGCCACGGAAACGCAAATCGTCGAAAACGCGCAGATAGCACAACTTTACATCGTCAATGCCTTTAGAAGGCACAGCAGAAATTTTAAGTCGATCCGACTAAATCCCTAGGAGGAGTTCATTAAAGTACGGAGTCTGTAAATTGTCCAAAAATGGCCGCCAAATTCAAAATGGCGGACCTCCTGTCGAGTTTAGGGTATGGGTTCTTGAGGCTTTTTTGTGCGTCTTGATATGATACACGTCCCCACCAAATTTCGTGCATGTAGGTTGAACGTGTACGAGGGGCTAATTTTTTCC